CATCTTTTCTTCATAAACATAAGCTTTTTAGGAACAAAAACTGCATTTGAAACTTTTCTCTACCCTTCGCTGTATAGAGCACACAAACTTGCTCGGCAAATATGTGTTGCTCAAAGACATCATGAGCTAAAAAGACCTGGAGAAACATGATAGGGCAACTCTCTTATAGAACATGGCCAAGGGTGTAAGGTTTTTAAGAAAATAGGTGATAAATTCTAAGGAAAATAACCCATGGAAATAATCAACGTGCCACGTAAAGAAAGAGCTCCTTTTTTATCTTAAACATGTAAACTTTGCTTAAATCTTTCATTGATTGTCATTGCAGAACTCACACACTTGGAGCACTTAAACATTTCAGTATTGGAAATGCTTTGAACTACAAAATTGTTTCCAGTAGTCAGCTGTGTATTCCAGAAAAGGACCTAAAATAAGGTAATTGATTAAAACACTTATGTCATGTGTTCTAATAATAAATTAAGTTCCTAGCTATATGCAATCACTATTAAACTTTAAGAACAATATTTTTGTTTCTGTTAAATACTAAGACTCTTTTTGTTACAGTGTTTACTATTAGTGTTCCCCAAATAACTTAATTGTCATTTGACAATGCTCCTTAGTGTTCCTCAAACAGTTTCATTTTGACACTTGTCTACATGGTCAAAATAAGTAGTGAATTTTGTATTTTTTAAAAAGTTTCTTACTGACCCGGAGGTCATTTGTTGTATGGTGCTTTCTGGGCATAGTAAGAGATATAATGTCCCAGATCACATCATTTTGTTCAGGTCGTTTAAAATATGCCATCAGGAGTTCACTTACTTTTGCTAAGTGAACCTGAATCTTATTTTTAGCATCTGCCGTCTCAGCAACACGGTTGGTGAGAGACAAATTGACTCTGTTGAACTGATTCCACATTTCATTGGCCGTTACAACCAAGAGGTTTTCAACGTCATCTCTTAGCTTGGCCGAGGCTGCCCGTTCACTCTGGGAGCGGAGAATATTGTCATCAGTAAACTTAGCCCAGGACTCTGGCACAGAAACCCTGAGGAGAAGAAGAAATAGAACAAAACAAGCTAGTCAAGGATGGACTGGCCTAAATAATCTGTAGACAACCATTCATCCTATGAAGCAAAAGCTCTCAAATTCCCAAGCCTAACTTCCCCTCACTGTCATGGGAGCACTACGGTTTCATGGTAGAATTCTCTCAAGAAAGGAGATCCGGATTAAATTCCCAACTAATGTATTTCATGCACAGTTACCATCTGTCAGTGGAGGCTTTTGCTGAACCAGTTTTATCAGAGTTTCCTAACTAAGACAGAATAGGAAGAGTGGCCTGACAATCTACTTTAAAAAGAAAAAAATCAACCATTAAAAAATGCTACGAATCACAACAGTAAAATCACGAACTGATTGTGATGATGGTGCAGGAGCAGGCAGCTTTATTCCACGGTCCACTTGGTCACCACAAGTCAGGGTCAACTCAACAACAGCTAACAACAGTTTCATTAGAAATGAGCAAATCATATTTTAAACTTTTCTTAAGAGCTTCTTATTTTATTGCTAATCCATTTTTTATATAGCTATGCATCACTTAACATTTGTTGAATAACATATGAACACAACGACATCCATCATCCCATAAGGTTTGTCTTTCTGGGTTGGTTTATTTATTAAGAGAAAGCAACTCCCCTCTTAGCATGTTGCCCTCCTAATCAGAAAGCTGTATGCACCTCTGGTGGTTCAAACCCACCAGCTGCTCTACTGGAGTAGGCTGGGTAGTTTCCTCCTGTTAAGATTTGTTGTTGCAGTTGTTAGGTTCCCTCTAGTTTACTATTATTCAGATCAGAGCCTTGCTTTATCCTGGACCATCCTCACAATCTCCATCATACTCACGACCATTGTGGCAATCACTGTATTCATCTATGTCATTGAGGGTCATCTTTTGCTAGCTCTCTACATTTCCCAGCATGATCTCTTTTTCAGAGGACTGATTGTTCCTGCCAACACACCCGAAGTATGTGAGATGAAATGCCACCATCCTCAGAAACCTGAAGGAGGATCACTATGAATTGGCATTCACTTGAGGGCAATGAGTGAGTATAATTGGTTTAAAGACTCCTTGCCCTAGACTCTTGAAGTGTTGGGCCACAGGTGAAATATAGTCAGGAAAGGCAGATGACGTGGCTCTGGATGTGGTCTCTTGGGCCAGTGGATAGGTAGGTGGTAGTGAAAGGGGCTTCTCCTGCAGCTCAAGAGGGAGAACACAAATAAGAGACTAGGCACATTCTACTTGCCTTCACTCACTCCTACTTGCTCAGCTTCCACCACCTTCTCAGCCTCTACTTCTGCCAATGCCCATTTCTTTGGCCTTTGCCAGAAGTTCTAGCAACCTCAGCAACAATAGCAATGATGATGTGGGTTCCCTCTTTCCCCCCACCTTACATTTTAATATGACATTCACACAAAGTTCAAATTTCTTATCACCCTACTTCTCAGAGCATATCATGTACATTAAACAGCATCTATTCATATAGGTATATACTCATACAAGTATAATCTAACTTCTCGGCCCATTTGGGGCTGGAGGTCAAGATCATTAATAGATAGGCAGATCTATTACAAACGGGCCATACTTACCCAGTAAGTATATAAAAAAATTCAACCTCATGATTAATCAAAGAAATACTAATAAGAACAACAATAATTTGTAGTCCTAGTGAGAATGTTTGGAAAAGAAGCTCTCATTTTTTTTCTCAGGTAGGAAGGTTGAGTTGGCACAATCAAGCTGGAGGATCAAAAGGTAATATACATTTTTCAAATGTGCATAACCCAGAAATTCCACTTCTAAGAATTTTTTCAAAGATAGATTTAAAAAACATACATATTCATGTCAGCAACATTTATGCCAATACTAGAAAAATGAAATAATTTGTGTCTGAAAGTGAAACAAGTTATGATCCATTCAAAAAAGATAATCTATATAAGTAAAATTGATGTTTTAGATGACTTTTCTTTTTTAAAGTTTTTTAATTGTAAGTAAGTGGCATCCACTTCCTAAACAACATGCCTCTAGAAACTCTATGAACTTTGATAAATGTTGATAGTTATAGAAAGGCTTCAGGCCTTTTGTTCATACAGTCACTATGAGTCGAACTCGACTCGAAGGCAATCAGTAAGAACAACAATGAAAAAATAAAGCAACAAGAAAATACCACTATTTAAAAATACAAATCTATAGCTATATTGATGGAAAAAATACTGGAAGGATTAAGATAAATTTATATCATAATTTGTTGTTGTTGTTGTTGTTATGTGCCATCGAGTCGTTTGCGACTCATAGTGACCCTATGTACAAGAGCCCTAAACCCTGCTCTATTCTGTGCCAATCACATTGCCTCTGACATACCTATCCTGATTACCCCAGTCACTGAATCAATCCACCTCATAGAGGGTCTTCCCCTCCTGCGCTGTCCCTCTACTCTACCCAGCATGATGTCCCTCTCCAAAGATCTGTCTCTCCTTAAATTTACATCATCAATTATAAATGTCAATCTCTCTAGAAAACAATAGGGTAATGGCTGCTATTTGGGCATTTGTGTGCTTGGTAGTGTAGTTGTTGTTGTGTTGTTGTTGTTGTTGTTGTTAGGTGCTGTCGAATCATAGACAACTCATAGCGACCCTATGAACAAAAGACCTGAGCATTGTTCATAGAGTTTCTGGAGGCAAGCCATTTCGGAAGTGGATGCCGCTCCTGCTTCCAGGCTTGTTTTAATCAGGGAGTTCCACTAAACACTGTCCACCATGGGTAACCATCATCACATTGGGCACATCAGTGTCACAGTGTTGAGAATCACAGCAACCACAAGTTACCTCTGTACAGCAATGCACAGACCAGTGCTATACCATGTAGAGGAATGTTTGACAAAAAACATTTTAAACCAGGCCTGAGCACTGCAGATTAAAATCACCCACCTTGGGCTTCAAGCGTCAAGGACTCTCCTTCATAGGGTCGCTATGAGTCGCCTGCAACTCGACAGCACTTAACAACATAATATCAACATAGAGAGCGAGATCAGCTGGGCCAGTGGACAGAAAGCAATGCTACCAAGCCAAAGGTGGGTGACTTTTAATCTGTGGCCCTTGGGCCTGCCTTTCATTGATTTTGTTCAGACATTTCTCTAGGTTGTATAGCCCTGGTGTACAAGTTGCTGTACCGCGGTCACTTTTGGTTGCTGTGAGGCTGAACACTGTGACACTGATGTGTCAAATGCGTTAATGGTTGGCTACCCAATGCGGACAGAGAGTGTGGTGGAGCTCCCCTATTAAAACAAGCTTGGAAGGAGGAGTGGCATCCACTTCCATAGTAGCTTGCCTCCGGAAACCCTATGAACCTGGAGAGAGAATGAAAGGCACCCAAGCGTCGAGGACTCTCCTTCATAGGGTCACTATGAGTCACCTGTGACTCAACGGCACTTAACAACAGCAACAACCTTGGACTTGGTAGCAAATTTCTGCCCACTAGGCCAATGTAGCTCTCTCTAAGTTAGTGGTAGTATTATGGTAGTGTAGTAGTATATTATTAAGACTCTTGCAGTGGGTTTTTAGTTCAGGAGTTTTAGGTCAGGTCCCAGTGACCAATATCATGGATGCTAACACCAAACCCAGAGAGCTCTGGGGGCCGAGTGGTAAGATGTTGTATTGCAATCCCAAAGACATGTAATTCAAATCCACCAGTTACTCTGCAGGAAAAGAATAGGCAATATCCTCCCAAGAGATTTACTATCCCTGAAAACCCATTGGAAGGTCAGCTATGAATCAGTTATAAGTTGACAGCTCAAGACAACAACAACCCCAAATCCATCACCAGTACCAATGAGAAAATTCTAATGGGTATAGCTCTCCATTGGGCTTCTGAGGTGATACATCTTTATCAGAGGAAAGCTGTAAAGATGGCAGATTCAAACTGGCCTTTCAATTAGCAGGGCAACACATGTTAGCTCCTTACTACCAACACTTGTTTTTGTTATGTGCCATAGAGTCAGAATTAACTCATAGTTGACCCTCCAGCAGGTTTTCAGAGGCTAAAAAAAAAGAAATTTGGGGGGAAGGGGATCATGGAGGAAAATGTGTAACAATGAGTGATTGGAAACTCTAAATATAAAAAAAGGGGCGGGGAAGGGGAAAAAAAATCACAAGGTAGGAGATGCTTCTTTGTGCTTTCTTGACTTTCTGCATCCAGCACGTGCTGCTTTTGTAGTTAAGACAAATTAATAATTAATATAAAGAACACGGGATTCAATTGTAGGCTTATTGAAAGACTATTTATCTTCTTCCTTTACATACTTTGTCATGTTTTCTGTTTTAATAAGCTATAAGTTGTGACATGCAAAAACTCAACCCCCGCATTCAAATCACTTCCAACTCACTGTAACTATTTATTCATCAGCCATCCCAGGGTGTAACTTTTAATAGGAGGAGATGGTCCATCTGTCTTTCTCGGAGCCCCTGGGGGATTCAAACCACTGGAGAAACTCATGCTTTTGGTTAACAGTGCAACACACTATAGACTATACCAGCTGTGCCAAGCCATTCTTAAAGGAGAAAGAGTGCATTAAATAAGATCTGAACAACGACAGTGGTGTGCCTGACTTACGTGGCATCCACTTTCTCGACCCCTCTGAAGTAGCTGACACCTTCTGAGGTGTTACGCAGATGGTGGCACTTATCATCAATCCGGTAAGCTGCCTGCTTGTCACTCAGGTCCTTCTCCAGCTCATGCTGGGCAGCTCTGTTAGATCTGGAACACAGAATGAGAAAACAGAGCTTCAAGCAGAGGTCACAGTTTAATACATGGAAGTAAAGTGGCCCTTCTGCACTGGGTCTCCTCATCATTATTCTTTTAGTTTTTCTTTCAGACTACACTAGACTCCTAAGCCAAAAGGAGCCATTCTGGGAGATGGCACTGCAGATGAGTATTTAGATTCTTTTATTCTGACTGCCCTGCCCCGTGGGGGGTGAGGCTTAGAAGAGAAGTTACAGATAAACAAGGGTTTGGCTTCTGGAGCCCAAGGCCTGCAATCCATTTCCTCAACTTACAAAATATCCCAGGCAAAACATTGGTCTGAAGAGAGTAGAAAATGGTGTATAGGGCCACGGGGCCTGGAGTGTCTCTCTGAAAGGGCCAGAGGAAGTGAAAATAGCAAAGCCTCTCACCTCCCCAGAGAAGAAAGAAAATAAAGAGCCCACAGTGCAGCCCACAATGCCTCAAGAGCCACACCAGGAGCAAGGTTCATTTAATCATTGTTAAAACACAGATGTGGTACCAACAATGGGGCTTATTAAGGAACTAAGTTGGAGACTAAGGGAGACAAAGAATATCTCACAATACAAGTCCAGGCTTAGCCCAGTAGTCTCAAGACAAATTAACTTCAAAACACAATTCCTTAATTAGTAAGTCCTGGTTTCAGTTCAGCAAAAAAAATTCAGGAAGACTCTGGTTTCCTCAATTACACAGCAAGATGTTCCCTCAGATCAGCTATAAGTCAGTTTCTTTTTCAAACATCCAGCAAGAACAGCAAAACCTTTAATTATGGCCCGCACAAATGCAAGAAGGCTCAGATCACACCTTGCCACAGAATCTCCACAGCAGTTCTACAGTCTCTCCACCACCATCACCAGGGTCTCACTTTCACCAGGGTTTCACTCTCTTGCTCCAATCTCCCTCAAGTCTTGCTGCCTAGTGTGGAAGCACTCTCTCTCTTATCCTAATCCTACAGCTGTTAATGATTTGCAAGACCAAATATCTGCAGGTAAGGTAGCTGGAGAACAGAGGGGGCTAATGTAATGGCTAAAGAGCCAACTTTAGGATAACATCACAACTAGTTTAAAATCACTGGCCACCTCTACGCTTTCTCTCCCCCCACTCCCTTTTCTATTTCTATATCCTATCCCTTTCCTCCATTCTGCAGTGTAACTCTCCAAGAAACTATGAGTCATTACAGGCTGCCTCTCTCCACCCATGGCAGATGACCTCAGTTTGTAATAATGTTGATATATTCAGAAGTGTCACAAGAGATGTCAACGAAGGAGCAGATTAACTCTTAGGAAGGAAAGGGGCTGGTGGCTCCAGCACCCCGCTGGGGAGAAAAGAGCCTTAATCACTCTGAGATGCAGGTTTCTCACTGCCTTGGTAAACCAAAAGGAGAACTTGCAGCCACCAAGCCTAGGTGGTGTGCCTCAAACCCAGGTGAACCATACCTTTGCTCAGGAATAGTTGTTGTTACAAATAATTCCAGGTATCTCTCACTTTTTGAAAGTTCACTCTATAGTACTTCACTTTACAAAAGATCTACATTAGTATCTGTTTTCACGAACCAAAAGAAATCCAAAAAGAATTTTTATAAAAATTCTTTTGCATTTTCGAAAAAGCAAAACAAGACTTTTACAGAAAGCCATTAAAGAGACAGCACACACTCCAAACAGTAAGAATGGCATCACCAAGCTCGTGTCCAGGGTACTATACACAGCATCAAACTGTTTGTGAACAATCTTATATGTCAGTATAATAGCAATCTTATGTTGTTGTTGTTGTTGTTGTTGTTGTTGTTAAGTGTCGTTGAGTCACAGGCGACTCATAGCAATCCTATGAACGAAGTCCTGGACATTTCCTATATAACTTTCGTCCTTTCTCCAGGTTCATAGGGTTTCTAGAGGCAAGCTATTGTGGAAGTGGATGCCACTCCTGCTTCCAAGCTTGTTTTAATCGGGGAGCTTCGCCAAACACTGTCCACCATGGGTAACAGTATTCGGCTTCACAGCAATCACGAGCTACCTCTGTACAGCAAGTGGACATGCCAGCGTTGCACAACCTAGAAGAATGTTTCACCAAAAACAATTAAAAGCAGGACTGAGGGCTGCGGAGTAGAGTCACCCACCTTTGGCTTGGGAGCCTGGCTTTCTGTCCGCTAGGTCAACTGTTTGCTCTCTCTTCCTCTATGCTGTTGTTGGTAGTTGTTAAGTGCCGTTGAGTCACAGGTGACTCATAGCAACCCTATGAACAAAGTCCTGGACACTTCCTGTATAACTTTCATCCTTTCTCCAGGTTCTTATACAATCTTACACTAATGTTATTTTAGGTTTCACATGTGATCTGGTGTCAGTTGATAACGTTTTGTTTATTTGGGTTTGCGTGTTTTGTTTTTTATCTGTTACGGCTGAGAGAGTTCTGGGGGCTTAGTGTTAAGAAGTCACACTGCCAACCTAAAGGCACACTGAATACACCGGCTGCTCCATGGGAGAAAGATGGGCAATCTCCTCCTGTGCAATTTATTGTCTCTGAAGCCCTACTATGAGTTGGTTTGTACTCCACGGTACATAAAAACAACGATAAGGCTTAACAATTTTTTTCCATGTAAATTACTAGTAACTGCTTCTTCACTTCTGCCATGTTGGCTTACTAAATGAGTTTTATAGGAAAACTCAGGTAAAAGAGGACCTCTGTACTGAGTTCCCACTCTAAGCTGGCAATTCTTCTAAAAGCCTGGGAGGCACCAGTGGACTAAGCAAACATTTCTTCTCTAAAGGGATTGGCCTTCTGCTTATTTGTAGTAGGCAGACAATGCAGTCTTCAGGTGATTGGGGAAGGCTCAGGTTTTTAAGGAGGTATGCAAAATAAGCACAGGAGAGCCACCATTCATTACTATTCCAACTGTTCTTTCTTGAAATGCACAGACGGTTAGGCTGACTATGTCAAAGAGTCAACATATTTTGAGTTAAAAGAAATCTTAGTCTGATTCCTGTTGTTGTGTACTGTCAAGCTGGAACCAACCCATAGCTGACCCTCTAGTGGGTTTTCAGAAGCAGTTAATTGCACAGGAGAAGATATCATTCTCCCATGGATTCAAACTGTGTACCTCTGGGATTGCAATGCAGCTTCTAGTCACAGGGTCACTTCCTTAGTCAGAATCTGACCTAAGACAAAAACCCTTTTGCATGTCAAAATTATTTCTTTAAGTAAAAATTTAAAACAAATGTATCCAAGTACTCACCTTAACCTTTGATTAAAAAGGTCTCACTCTGTATGTGTAATCTTATAAAAGCTATGGAGAGACCTGAGTGTTAGCATGAACAAATTAACAAAAATATGAACAATAAATGTAGAGAGATAAAGCTCTTACGCAAGTTGGGCAATCGTCTTATCCAAATGTAGCTTCATTCTTTCTTGACAACACAGAATAATATCAACTTCCTACTCATTTTGGAGGGAAAAAACACACCACATGTTAATGTTTTTTGTATTGAATATGACATCCAAAGTCAATAACACAATTTTTTATCAATGAGAGAAAATTTTGTAAAGAGAAAGAATAATGAAGTCAAATAAGAGAACAAGTTTACATTCGTTTCCTTACTTATATATAAAGAAAGCAGATGAGAGAGTGACCTAATAATTGGACTGAGATTTATCCATTAGAGGGCTAGAGGTAAATTACATTATAGGACAAGTTTAACATGATTCAAAGACTAGGGCTCAGTCCTTATATCTCTAACAGAGTCTTGAGCTAAAGAATTACCACCAAAACCAAAATTCTAGAATCACAGTGATATCAAGGTTGTGTTTAAAAGCATAGGTTCTTGTACAACAGCTATTCTTCCAAAACAAAGCAAAAGAAAGGAAAGGCAAATGGACAACCAGAGGGGCGTCTCCGCTGCACATTTTGCTTGGACCTTTGTCCACAGAGGTTGACTTCAGCAGATCCACCTCCCTTCCAGACACCACAGATCAGCTCCTCTACCTGCCCGGGCCCTTGAGCTAGCTTGGTTTTTGACATGTGCCAGTTTGATGCTGCCAAGATAAATACATATGCTATGACAAAGCACGTATCATATTAGAGTTCTCAAAATGGCATCTGTTTCATAATTAATTATTACATATTGTAAATGTTAACCCTCATACTTGTGAATGCAATGCCATTTATGACTGAAAGTTTTCTGTTATGTTAATGAAGACATTCATGTAGTGTTTCTTAAACCTAATCTCTTCTGAGATAGGGAGCAAAGAGATAAGCACACAAATGAAGAAATGATAGAATGCCCTGAGGATCTCCAAGAAATCTGAGAAAAATTCTAGTGAAGCTAAGACATGAATTCCTTTCCTGTGCACCCCCCACCCCCAAACAGAGAGAAAGAGCTTTCTTCTAGAGTCAGAACCCCAAATTCCACCTTCAAGCCTGCTGGACTGTGAGAAAATGCATTTTTGTTAATTAAAGCCATTACCTTAACTGCATTAGGAAACTAAGATATTGAAGGAAAGGGAAAGTAACACATTAGCCAGCTTCAAAGGAGGAAAGTGTGAGTTAGAATAGCAGAAATGAGACTGGCATGATAAGGACCAGGGAAGTAGACAGGCCAGAGGGGGAATCTACAAGAAGACAGTAATGACAAGGTTTGAGGAGATACTGGACAGCAGGCCAAACCATGGTGAGAACACAGCACTGGTGCCATCAATAGAAGAAGAGTCAACCAGGCATGGGATATGAGGGAGAAAATGTGCTGCTAGGCATCATGAAGGTGAACAGAAATGATTTACCAAAGTCAAATATGTCTTGTAGGCCATTAGAGGTAGAGAACTGGTGTCTAACAGAGCCTTGGGCTAAAGAAAGACATAGGAAAGGGTTCTGGGCTCAAGATGGCAGAGATCCTGGGAGAGCAAGTCTAGCAGGTGAAGGTTAGAGAACTTCAAATGAAATCATATTTACTTGAAAAAAGATGCAGGGCAGAAACAAGCAGGAGAATACAGGTAGCAGAGCTGATGCAATGATAAAATTCTGGATGACGATTTGGCCATACATCAAAAGCACATAGCCTTTGACCTATCTGTTCTACTTTCTGAAATGAATTCTAAAAAACAATCAGAGTTAAGTTAGTTATAATTAACAATATTTTGGGGCACTGCAATATTATTAAAAATAGAGGGAAAGGAGAATAACTATTAAATGTAAATATGGATTGAAGCTCAACATCAAGAAAACAAAGACAGAGGATGAAGGGACTGAAATTGATAAGAGTTTCAGTTTGCTTGGCTCCACAATCAACATTCTTGGTACCAGCAGCCAGGAAATTAAAAGACAAATTACATTGGGAAAGTCTGTTGTTAGGGACCTCTCTAAAGTACTGAAGAGCAATGCTGTCAGCCTGGAGACTAAAGTGTGCCTGATTCAGGCCATGGTCCTTGCAATTACTTGATGTGTGCTAGAAAGCTGGACAATGACTAGGGATGTGCCTTTGAGCTGTGCTGCTAGCAAGACTATTTAATATACCATGAACTGCTAGGAAAACAAACAGGTTCATCCTAGAGAGGGTGAGACCAGGCTTCCCTTGGAGGCAAGGATTCTGAAGATTCATCTGACATGCTTTGGATATGTTGCAAGGAGGGACCAGTCCTTGGAGAGGGACATCATGCTTGGGAGGGTGAGGAAGACCTCAGGAGAGGAAGACCTCCAATTAGATGGATTGATTCGGTGACAGAGGACAGAGGTACTGGGGGTAGGTGTGTCAGAGGCAGTAAGATTGGCACAGGATAGAGCAGAGTATTACGTTGTACATAGGGCCACAATGAGTCACAAGCGACTTGATGGCACACAACAACAACTATTAAACAATAGGATGTTTTTGTTGTTGTTGTATACCATAGAGTCACAACCGACCCATAGCTGACCCTCTGGCAGGTTTTCAGAGGCAGTTAATTGCACAGAAGGAGATTGCCCATCCTTCTCCTGCAAATAAGAGGATACTAATTTTAAAAAGAAGAGGAAAGATAGGCAATTCCCATTGTAGAATACCATACAGATAATTATATCTAAAACAGTAACAATAATATGAAGAAAATTGCCACAATATTATTTTAAATATAAAGCAGATTCAAAATTAAATATAAAATATTATTCTAATCTTAAAGACCCATCTATGTGTATTCATATATGAGCTGGATAATATTTACTTAAACATAATTTTTTTGAAAACTCCAAATTTAAGGGTGACTTTTCTCTATAATACAATACTAGATAACTTCTCTTTCTTTTTCCTTTTCTGTATATTTCAAATTCTCTCAGTGTACATACATTATTTTTTTAACCAAGAGAAAGCATACCCTTTTGGGAAGCTGTAAGTATCTAATAAAAAAATTCTTTATTTATAAATGGTCTTATGGAATCTATTGTTGTTGTTATTGTTGTTTGATTTGCACATTGAGCACATGTTTACAATTATGCCTGCTGGTAGTTTTGCGTTCCCATCAAGTTTACCGTGAGCAGTTGTTTCTCCACATCATCATGAACTAGATCAATTCCCATTCTTTTCTCTCGGTGAAATAGACATTCTCGGGCTACCTAAAGAAGCACAGATAATGAAAAGCATTCATACAGACAGCTGTTTATAATCAGCTCTATTGACTAAAACCAGTCAATAGATACTCCCACCCTAAAAAATTATCAAACTATTTTGTTGAAAATACAGCATGAAACCAACTACAACAAATAGTGAAATCCTTGCTGCTACTTAAAATATATGTAGTTAGTTCTTCAAAGTCATTTGAAAAAATTCCCAATTTGGAAGGTTGAGAGAATGATCTGATAGCTTCCACTTGAGCCCCACAAATTAGCATTCATTTCTTCTGGAGAAATAATTCAGTTACATGAAGCAAAGACTTGAAGATAATTTCTAAATATTTTCTACCAAAAAAAGCTGAAGAGGAAACAACCTTTAAGGACATCAAAATATGTACAGTCAAGGAGCAAAGAGATTGTTTTTTGAAGGTCATTTCCTCATTGAGGCAGGGGTGGGGGTAGGAGTGGGAAAGCGGTGGTTGGGGGGGGGGAGGTTTTTCCCCATTGAAGAAAAAAAACCATACAGAAAAGAAAGAAAATGTGGCTCAGAAATAACGCCATCATTCTATTGCTTGTTTAAAGAAATAAAGGATATGATATTGTTAAAACTCCATAGCATGCTTTTAAGGATTAACATTAATTAGAAGGTTTAGATCAAGAAATATTCTTTGAGACAATGTATGTAGTGTAGTCAGGGTATTTAATGGCCTCCATGAATGGTAGTTTAAATTGACACAAATTAGGTATGAAACAAGAGTATGTTGCTATTAACATTTTTTTCAGATAATTTCATGAGAAAACTGTACAGTGTGAATTTTTTTAAACATGATATAGAAAATATTCTATAGACCCAGCAGTCTTTTTATAATTGAGCAAAATTTTTTAGCGAATTTTTTGTTCTTTTACTAATAGTATCATTTGTATATATTCTTGTTGTTGTTGTTGCTAAGTACTGTCAAGTTGTATATATTAGAAGAGGAAATAATAGGTTGAGAGAAACTGATTGCTTAGTACATATCACTAAATTGCTTTTTTAAAGTTTTTAGAATCAGAAATTCCACCACCACCACATAAAAGTGCCCACTTTATCCATTTGTGTAACACTTTAATGCTATCAGCTTTCATTTTTGAAAAATTGATAGGCCAATGTGGGTCACATCAGTGATTTAAATTGTTCATTTATTAATAAGTTATTCCTGATATTAGTTGATCACCATCAGTATTTTCTCTTCTGTGATTTATCTCTTTATGCAATTAACCACTCTCCTTTTAATCAGGAATTTCCACTATTTGTTCATAACAAATGTTCAAACACAAGTGAACAATAGTACAAAAACACAGAAAAAATTTCCAATAAGACTCGCTAAAGCAGGGCTTAAGGAGGAAATAATTGATGGCTAAAATTTTAGGAATACTTCTAATCTTTGAATTTGGTAGGAGAATTGTATGACATACACTTGTAATTCTCAAATGAGATATAGCTCGGAGAAAGAGTTCTGGTCCAAAGTAATAATTAATTTGTCATTAGTGCATCATGAACATCTCTCGAAATTCCTGAGGGTTGTATGTGTTTCTGGTTAGTGAGAGGTATACAAGAAGAAGCCACATTGTGCAGAGGTCATTATGAAACTTTTCAAGTCACTAGACTGGATTCCCAACAAGTCACACACTCATATAAAAAAAATGACAACTTTCCTCACTGAAACATATAAAACTTCTACATTAATTTCAATAGTTTGCAGACCTTCAAGACAAGAACGCCATTTTTTTTTTTTTGGAATAGTAGACAGAATAAGACTGAGGGGTCAGTCCTACACTTGGAATACCAGCAGGGGTTATTGTCTATCCTGAGCCCAACCAGAGTCCAGCACCCAGCTGAAATAGTGCTCCTATGACCAGGCAAATGGTCTCACCGGAGTCATATTTTTCTACTTAATCCATCTCCCAAAATGGATTACACTGTGCCCTGAAACAGAATCAGTGAACAAGAGGCATTTCATGACTCAGACTAGAAGAATAAAGGATTTCCCTGCTCTCAAAATGTTGTTTACTTAATCCAGGGACAGCCAAAATCAGACAAACAATCTGAAAGGGGGTCAGACGACTCATTCACCACAAAACATTCCATATCCTAGGAATAAATAGCTTATCAATGAACCTTCTTTGCTTTGCATTCAAAATTATGTATGTCCCGTTAAGGTCTTTGAAATGTCTAAAAATGACACAGTTCTTCATTACTGAAACCAGCTGCAGCTTTGATATGAGATTGACTTCTATGAGTAAAGTAAGACATAATTCAATCAATAAATAGCTCAGGAATTCAACTAGTGGTTGTTGTTGTTTGATGCCATCGAGTAGTAGACGACTCATAGCGACCCTATGAACGAACAGCCTGAGCACTGTTCGTAGTTTCCGGAGACAAGCCATTTCGGAAGTGGATGCCGCTCCAACTAGTGGAGCATAATAAAAAAAAAAATATATAGACTCCTTTACCATAGGGCCTCATAATTACCTGAAGAGGGGCTTCAGTCTCCATCAAAGCCCTTTCCAATCTTTTCTTAACATCAGTCAGTGCATTGGTTTCACCAATCATTTCATCCATCTCATGAAGCATTTCAGCTTTCCAGAATCCTATGTCATTGACACGTTCTCCCAAATTTTGGGTGGAATCTGCCTGGGTTTTCCTTGTTTGCTGGTATTTGTCTTGAATCAGGCGAGCTGTATCTACCCTCAGCCGCTCTGAATTATGACGGGAGGTGTTCGACTCTTGGTAGTTGGTCAGATTGGAGCGGTACCAATCATCAGGAGTGTACCTGGTGAAGAGGGTGGTTCTGTTGGAAACGAAGGGAAGCATGGTGCACTCCGACACCCTCTGAGACCTGGTGCAGTATGGAGCCAAGGTTGGTGAATTGGAGACCACTTTGTAGTACGTGCTTGGATTCCAAGGGAGGCTCAAGCCATGGTTCAAATTGTAGTGGGGAAAGCGGTCCCTATAGCTTGATGCCAAGGAACTGAGGGCTGGCAGAAAGCTGCTTGGTGCTGGTGTAGGGTGGGCACACGTTGCTGTTAAAGAAGAACCTAAGAGCTCCATGATGCCCAAACACTGTCTGAAAATCTCTCCTGTTTAAGAAAAGCAAAAATTGACAATAATAGCAATTAATCTCGGTGAAAACTTACCAACTCTAAGGCCACGTCTGACTTATCATCGGCCACACTGCTGCCAAATATATTAAATATTTAAGCTACCCACTTTAATAAGTGATAATATATTCCTTTCCTCCCCCTTTCTTTGTGGCCCAAGGACATTTTTTTTTAAAAGTTTACAGGTTGTAGACTGGTCATTTAAGTTTTGGGGGGAAAATTTCTAAAAGTAACTTAGTCTTGTTTTTATAACCTCAAATTAAGACTCTGAACTGTGCATTTTAACAAACAGGAATTAAAATCTTGCCTGCATTTAATAGCTATGATGTAAAGCAAATTATTTCACTTTTCCATTTACTCAGTAATAAATTGGAAAGAAGAATAATAATAGTATTAACTTCTTTGGATTGTTAAGAATGTATCAGCAACAATGAGTATTAATCATCCCCTCCCATCTCCATCTGCAATCCCTTAAACACACACATGAAATTATCATAAATAAACACACAATCTGGCAGCAATGATGTGCTTGGGATACAAACAGCTGTCCCTTTTTCTGACAGCTTAGAATGTTGACTTCTGCAAACAACAAATGCTGGTGAGGTCGTGAAGAGACTGGAACACTTATTCGCTGACATGAGTGTAAAATGGTACAACCATTATGGAAGGCAGTGTGGCGCTTTGTCAAAATACTGAGAATAAAAATATCATTTGATCCAGCAATTCTACTACTATGAATATACCCTAAAGAAACCATAACTACCATCAAAACAGATATATGCACACCCATGTTTATAGCTGCATTATTTACAACAGCAAAGAGATGGAAGCAACCCAAGTGCCCATCAATAAACGAATGGATAGGAAAACTATGGTATATTCACACAATGGAATACTACTGGAATACTACACTACACTGAAAAACAAGGAACTCATAAAACATTACACAACATGGGTAACCCTGGAGGATATTATGCTGAGTAAAATACCACTGATATAAAGCAAGACTGACATGGTGGTTGAGGAGAACTAGGAAAAGAGAGGTTAGATAATTAACACCACATTGGAACAGATGAAGGAAAGAACATTTAAAAGGAATATATGATTAGGCATTATTTTCTGACAACAGGTCAGGATAAGAGGTGCATTGCAAAGTGGATGAGGGCATCAGGAGGAAATTGTGCAACAATGAATGCTTTTTTAAAAAAAGTGAACTGGGGGGCAGGTAGCAACAATGAATGAATAAAAATCCAACTTTTCTATAAACTTTCATTAAAATCACAATTAAACTTTTTTAAAAAAAAAGAATCTTGACTTCTACTGTAGAGAAACTTAATAGTCACAAACTTATACAAATTTAAGACTGCAAGTATTTGGGAGGCTTAGCACAGTTCTAGGCACATAATAAGGGCTCACTAAAGATGATTTTTTAAAAATTACTAATAGAGTAGGGAGCTCTGGTGGCCTAGTAGTAAGAAGCTGCACTGCCATCACAAAAGCACTCAGTTCAAATCCACTAGCTGCTTCACTGGAGAAAAATGGGCAAACTCCTCCAGTGTAATGTTAACATACGTTGTTGTTGTATACCAGGGAGTCAGAACTGACCCTAGCTGACCCTCCAGTGAGGCAGTTAATTTGCATGGGAAGAGACTATCTATTTTTCTCCCATGGAGCAGCTGGTGGATTCAAACCACTTAACTTTGGGTTACTAGCACAGCTCCTTACGACTAGGCCGCCCTAGTGGTTGGTGTTATGTACCCTCAAGTCAAAACCCCACTCATAGCTGATCCTCCAGTGGGTTTTCAGGGACTGTGAATCTTTTGGGAGGAAACTGCCCATCTTTCTTCTGCAGAGCATCTGGTGAGCATCTGGTTGAAACTGCATGCCTTTGGGTTGACAGTGCAGGGAGTTACCACTAAGGCACCAGAGCCCCCTATATTAACATGTCAATTACTATTATTTCAAAAATAAGTAACACTTTAAAATTATCTTCTTTTAAATAGAATGAATATCTGTACATACAGTCTTCATAAATAAAAGTTTTTTGACATCTCTGATATTTTGTAAGAGTGGGCCCTGAGACTAAAAGGATTTTGCTCTATAACCAAGAAAAATATTGCAAATAAGTCAGTAGATAGGGGGGAAAATGCAAAAAATAGATATAAAATTAATCTGAGAAAAGAGAGACAAGGATAAGGAAAGGAGAAAAAAAATGGCAAAATTATATAAGATGTCAATCTAATCATACTAATTACATTTACTTTATTTAAATGGTCTATCTGTCAATAATGTCCCAGATTGTGTGTTTTTATAATGCTAGGAGCTAGGATTGATTATATCTGTGGAAAGAATCACTGGGGAAGCTCAATATCCACTGTGAAAACTAGGCCATGTGCTGTTTGTGGAACAGACCATCACTATTCATATTCAAGTTCAAACTAAAGCTAAAGAAGGTTAAATTCACAGGAACCAAAATTTGACCTTGAGTCTATCCCACTTGAATTTCAAAACTATCTCAGGAACAGGTTTGAGGTCTTGAACACTAATGAGTGAAGAGGAGATGAGATCTGGGAGGATATCAAGAGTATCAAACAGGAAGAGTGCAAAAAGGTCATTATAAATACAGAAGAGGAAGAAAATACCAAGAGGGATGTCAGAAGAGACTCTTAATATTTCACTTGAGCACCAAGAAGCCAAAGAAAAGGGAATAAATCAAGAAGAAGCTGAACAGAAGATTTCAAAGGGCAACGTGGAAAGACAAAACAAAATATTATAATTAAATGTGCAAAGAGTTGGAGTCAGAAAAGGAAGCAGAAGGAAGTGAAGAACAAACTTAAGCCTTGAGTTACAATACTTAAGGATGCTTTGGGCAAAATATTAAACAATACAGGAAGCATTAAAAGAAGATGTAAGGAGTATATAGAGTCACTGTACCAAAAAGAATTGGCTGACTCAGAAGAATTTTATGAAATAATGCATGATGAAGAGCCTATTGTGATGAAGGAGGAAGTTCAAGCTGCTCTGAAGGAACTGGCAAAAAACAAGGACCCAGGAATTGACATCTTACCAATTGACATGTTTCAACAAACAGACTCTGCCCTGGATGTGCTCACCAAGTTGTGCCAAGAAATCTGGAGGAAAACCACCTGGCCAACTGACTGGAAGAGATCCATATTTGTTTCCATTCCTTAAAAAGGTGACCTGACAGAGTGTGGAAATTATTGAACAATATCATTATTATCACATGCAAGCAAGACACTGCTGAAAATGATCCAAAAAAGACTGGAACAACACATCAACAGAGAACTGCCAGAAGTGCAGGCTGGGTTTAGAAGAGGCCGTGGTACTAGGGATGTCATAGGTAATGTTAGATGGATCTTGGCTGAAAGCAGAGAGTATCAGAGGAATGTCTATCACATTTGACTGGGTGGATCACAACAAACTGGCTAACTCTGAGAAGAATGGGAATCCCAGAGCACTTGATTGTGCTTAGGCAAAACCTATACTTGGACCAGGAGGCAGTCATCAGAACAGAGCAAGGAAACAATGCATGGTTCAAAATCAGGAAAGATGTATGCCAGGAATGCATACTATCTCCATACCTTTGTAATCTATATGCCAAACAGGTCATCTGGGAGTCTGGGCTCTATGAAAAGGAATGTGGCATCAGGACTGGAGGAAGACTCATCAATAACCTGTGTTATGCAAATGATATAACCTTATTTGCTGAAACTGAGGAGGACCTGAGGCATTTGCTTCAGAAGATCAAGGAATGCAACCTTCGATACAGAATGAAGCTCAACAACAAGAAAACAAAGATTCTCAGCACTGTGTTGATTGGCAGCATCATGACAGACGGTGAAGAGATTGAGATTGTTAACAAATTTAATTTGGTTGGCTCCACAATCAACACTCTTGGTACCAGCAGCCAAGAAATGAAAAAAATTTCTTGGGAAAATTTGCTGTCACGAACCTCTCCAAAATACTGAAGATCAACGATGTCAGTCTGGAGACTAAGGTGTGCCTGATGCAGGCCATGATCTTTGAAATGACTTGTGTTTTGTTTTGTTTTATTTACATGTTAGAGAGGTATGCTCCTTTATTTTTTTATTATTATTAATGTATCTTTATTTTGCAGCACATTCTTTTCATTTACTTCTCCCCCCCCCCACATTCATTCATTGTTGCACGCTTTCCTCCCACCCCTCCCTCCAGTTCATTTTTTTCGTTGGAAAAAAATATTCTTTCATTATTATACAACCCTCCCCACCCCCTGCCACTGAGTCCACAATCCACTTTACTATGCATTTCTTTTTCTGTAATCTTGTCATGAAAACAATACCTAATCCTATATCCCTTTAAAACAGTTTTCTCCCTCATTTGTTTCAATGCAGTATACATTATTTATCTTCTCTTTTCTTATACATCAGAAAACTGGACAAAGACTAGGAATGATAGAAAGAGAAGTGATGCCTTTGAGCTGTAGTGTTGGAGAAGAGTATTAGATATACCCTGGCCTGCTAGCAAAACAAAAAAGTGTGTCCTGGAGATGGTGAAACCAGGCTGCTCTTTGGAGGCAAGGTTTCTGAAGCTCCAGCTGACATACTTTGGGCTTGTTGCAAGGAGAGACCAATCCTTAGAGAAGGGAATTATGCTTGGGAAGGTGTAGGGACAATGCAAGAGAAAAAGACACTGAATGAGATGGATTGACTCAGAGACTGGGGTAATGGAAATGGGTGTGTCAGAGAAAATGAAGCTGGCTCAGGGTAATTCAGAACTATTGTACATAGGGTCAATATGAGTCACAAATGACTCAACTGCACTTAACAACAACAGGAGATCTGTATAATTATTTCAATAATAAAAAAGTCACTAATGGTGAACAGTTTCCAGCAGTTTCCAGATTAAGACAGAGTAAGAAGAAAGGCCTGGAAATCTACTGTTGAATATTAGCCAATAAAACAATATAGATTAAAA